GCATACATATTTGCGTTAAATGCAGTACATGTGCGCGTGGAATCAATTTGTAAAAGTGTAAAATACGTAAACGTATGTACATAAACAATAAAACTTTCTCATGAATACCATAAAATCATTGGTCTTGAAGGGAATGTACTAAGAAAATATATGAGCGCATTAAAAAGTGTATACAATTTATAGCCGAAAAGTACATTTTTTGTATAGATTTCGTACTGAAGGAACGATTTCATTTCCCAACACTGATACAGAATGTAAAGAAACACAGGGTTGCAAGGAAAAAAAGTTGAACGAGCTCAAAGTTGGCTGGCGACCAACTTTGTTGAAAGCGATTAGTTGAAAGGCCGTTCGGACGAGGCGATTTTTGCTTTCAACTAAAAGTTGCCTGAAAAATCGCCTCGTGCGAAAGCCCTATAATTGACATGAAATTACTATCTCAACGCTCGGAGCGCTGCCACTGAGGGCCTTTGCCAACTAATAAAAAAGAGAAAACTTGGAAAGACCAAACACAAATTTTGAGATTTCTCGTTGTGAATACGAATGCTATAGTTTTTACCTAGCTCGTGGGACTACGCAAAATTTTGACAGCTTGTAAATATGTATACACATAAAGTTGTTGGCGGTAATAAGGAGTCAAAATTAAAATGGAGAAAAGAACAAAAAGCGTAGGTTAGTTGTCAGTTATTAAGTAAATCCAATTTATTTGCGAATATTTGTTTATTCTTTTTATTGAAAGGCAACCACTCGGAAAAGCTTGTGTTAATTAGGGCCTGTGCCAATTGATAGAAAAGTTCTCTGGATAGTAAATTTTTGACAGCTATGAGGTGAATAAAAATGTTTGATACGGCAGGGCTAGTGAAAAATTTGACAGCAAGCATTATCAAGAAGAAGAACGAACAACGCACGTATACACATAAATTAAAGAAAACAAAAGCGAGTGGAAATAAAAGAACATGGTCCCGCCGGCAAAAAAAATAAAGAAAAGCTATATAACTTGTAAGATTTAATTTCAGATTTACATATGAAATGGCGTTATGTATTTTTTTAATTAAAAATATTACACATTTCTGATAAATTTATCCAGCGATTTCACTGAATAAACTTGATAAACTGAAGACAATGCAACTCTGTCGCAACTCTAGCTATGTTTCTTAGGCAATAATCGGGATCCGCATACAAATTTTGCACGCAAATTCAAAATTATATTTACGAGATATCTATTTTAATAAATGTACATATAATATAAAGGCTATTTATTTGAAGCAAGTTATAAGAAACAATGGCAGAATGTCTGTTTGTGTATGAATTCATTCGTCACGGCTACCAAACTTTGCGAATTATCAGTGAAACAAAACAAACAGACGGGATAATAATTGAACCAGATCTCTATCAGGATCATATCGTTGTTGAATTTGCGTGCAAAATTTATATGCGGGTCCCGATTATTGCCTAAGAAAACATAGCTAGAGTTGCGACAGAGTTGCATTGTCTTCAGTTTATCAAGTTTGGGGTGTTCACAGTTCGTTCAAAATTGTGTCTGAAAATGTAGACGTCTACATTTTGAGACATTTTTAGCATCAAACTGTGAGCACCCCTTTCTAGCAGTCGTCGCAAAATCGTCTCAAAACTTTGCTGGTGTTGCCAGACATTTCTTGTTTGCGTGCATTGTTTATATGTCGCCTTTCGATTTTGTTTCTGAAAAATTTTAATTATTTAACTTAATTACCAATTCGTAATATTTGTTATTCCTTTTCCTTGATTTGTTTCTTTTCATCAGAAATTGCGCTCAAATTAAATGCAAATACGGAAAACGTGCCCAATAAATAAAAAAAATGTGATTAGTATTGCCATAATGCAACCCTGCTGCGAGGTTGCAAAATGTAGACGCGTAAAAAACATACCTTTGAGTGTGACAAAATGTAGACGGCGTCGTTTTCCAATTTTGTATGGGAAACAACAACACCACAGATTTTACGGTTAGAAAACGTCTTAAAATGTAGACGTCTACGGCCCCTATTATGAGTTGCATTCGATTTTCGACTGTGGTCGAAAGTCCTGAGCGAACGAATTTTCGTTTGGTATTATGGCGCTCATTCGATGAAGAATAGCGCTATTGTGAATTTCGCTCGTTTAGGTTGTTCACAATAGTATATTTTTCACCGCTGAGAAGCTTTGTTTACAAATCGAGCAAACTAAATAGTGTGCTTATACATATTTATGCAAATTTGTTCTAATTAAAATGAAGTAAAAAAGAAAGCAATTTTATAAAAACGTGGTAAAATGAGTACAACGAGTTCTGGTTCAACGATTCGTCAGAGGATGAGAGCTTAGTAAACTGGCCAGGAGTAGCAAATGCTCTCTTAAACATTTAAGTTTATTAGTCTTTCGAATATATTTTTATATACAATATATTTAAGAAATTTGTCTACCGATTCATTAAAAAGTTCCGACCATCTAAAGAGGCGTTTGTGAGCCAAATCTATTTAAAATATTTTAAAACTATCAACAGCGCTACGATTTTGTTCTCAGAGATCGTGCCAACAGAGCATTGGGATTTTCTTTCACAAGTAAAACCAGCCTTTCGAGCTTGTGTTTAGTATTCACGATGTTAGAACTGCATGAAATTAATAAAAATTGTTTAAAATTAGTGTCTAGCCGCCAAAATGTAAGAAAACATATACAAAATCATACATTTTTCACAATTTTCTAACACTTCGCTACACCATCGAAAGCAAAATTCTGTTCGACAGAAAATTCGATACTCAACGAAAATTTCGACACGCTTGCATAGCTCATAATACGAATTTCACTTTCGATCTTCGATCTTCGATAGCCAGCGAAGATCGAAAATCGAATGCAGCTCATAATAAGGGCCTACATTTTGAGACACTATTTGGAACGAACTGTGAACACCCCAGTTTATTCGGTAAAATCGCTGGATAAATTTATCAGAAATGTGTAAACGAGTTTCCATACAAATTTTGACAGTTCATTTATAAGGTTTACACAATTATAAGTTTATACGGTTTACAATTGGGGTGTTCACAGTTCGTTCCAAATTGTGTCTGAAAATGTAGACGTCTACATTTTGAGACATCTTTAGCATCAAACTGTGAGCACCCCTCTCTAGCAGTCGTCGCAAAATCGTCTCAAAACTTTGCTGGTATTGCCAGACATTTCTTCGTTGCGTGCATTTTTTATATGTCGCCTTTCGATTTTGTTTCTGAAAAATTGTAATTATTTAACTTAATTACCAATTCGTATTATTTGTTATTTCTTTTCCTTGATTTGTTTCTTCTCATCAGAAATTGCGCTCAAATTACATGCAAATACAGAAAACGTGCCCAATAAATAAAAAAAAAATGTGATTAGTATCGCCATAATGCAACCCTGCTACGAGGTTCCAAAATGTAGACGCGTAAAAAACATACCTTTGAGTGTGACAAAATGTAGACGGCGTCGTTTTCCAATTTTGTATGGGAAACAACAACACCACAGATTTTACGGTTAGAAAACGTCTTAAAATGTAGACGTCTACATTTTGAGACACTATTTGGAACGAACTGTGAACACCCAAATGCATTTATAAGGTTTGATGAATACCCTTACCGCCCAATTCTGTGTTTTCTTGATAATTTTTTTGTAAAGAAATTTTATCAAGATTTTTATCAAGTAGAAGCTTCCTTCGCAGTCTGTGTCAATATTTATAAAACAAAAAGCTCTACGACTTCCACATTAGTGGAACTGATTTCCACATGAGTGGAACTGATTTCATTGTCACATATGAAAAGTATGAAATTAAAAGCGAAAAAGCTTTTGACTGCCGTAGCCGAGTAGGTAGAGATGTCGACTATAATTCCGTGTGTCGTAGGTTCAAATGCCGGCACATGGAGTATTTAATTGTTAGAAACAAATTTATTAAGATACAAAATTTATACAATTCACATGAAATTTCAATTTGTCAATAGCATTTTCAATCTTGATAATTTATCAAGAAAAGAGCTTTTGATTTCTGTGCTAGAATACCAATTCTTGATAAATAATAAAAAATTTACAAATTATAAAGATTTTCAATTTATCAAGTGCACAGAATTGGGCTGTTAATATAAATAATTTGAAGACTTTATTAAGCAAATGACTTCGTACTCCACTGACCATCCGTGGCGCTTTTTGGGAATGTGAGTTACAATTTTTCGAAACGAAGCAGAGGACAACCTAAGATACATTTTTGTAGTCTTGTTATCGCCGTTCATAATGCTGTTTAGTATTTTGGAATAAACGTCTTGTTGCATGTACATAATACCCTAAAACGACATATGTTTTTATTGGAAACAATTGTACACGGTTTTAAACATTTTTGTGAACACACTTACCAGACGGTTTTGAGGTTTTTTTATTTCTAATATTACTGCTAAAAGGTCTAATAAATGCATGGATTTCAGTTCCAGAAGAATTGAAATCATCAAAGGCAAATATTTTCTATATAATTGCTGCATTTTATAAATAGCAAACACGATAGTCTTATTGTGCATCAAAGCAACTGTCAAAAATTTCCAGCAGTAAAAGGTTACGAATTGGCACAGTAGAAATGTAAAATTTTCTCACCATAGTAAAAAGTTTTTCCACCATAGAACTTTTCTATCAATTGGCACAGGCCCTTATATTGATAACAGAACCTGGCAGCTCGCACGTTGTCTAAATTCTCAAGTAACATAAAGTCCACAAGAGAATAAGTACGCCATGTATAAATTTTAACAATACACAAAAATAGAGCTTTCGCACGTGTGTTTGTTTGGTTTTTCAACACCATTTATAATTTTCTTTTAATAAAATACTTAAATTTATTTATCTAATAATAATACAGCAAACAACCCTGAAATCTAAGAAAAAGTCTGAAGAAGGCCATTAAATAGCAGCACACAACCCCGTGCCTTCCTCAGGGGTGAATATAACTACAACAACAACGACTACTACAACAACAACCCAAAAAGGTTGGTTACTGTCTATACTGTGGTTGATAAATAGGTAGTAAAGAGGAAATGCGATTGTTTTGCTTAAGAAATACTAATATGTTGATTAAAAAATTAGTCATTGTGTTAATGTAAGTTATGGAATCAAAAAGGAAGATCAACTTAATTATTTTTTATTCTTTCAGTATATATTGGTAGTCATGTATTTTACTGTCGGTTGGCCAAGGGTGCTTAGCCTCAATTTTCCCGGAGAGGAGTCTTCAATTAATCATATTTGCTGTGACGCTGTTAAAATCTTAGTTGCCGCCATTGGGGACAATTTTATTGGTATTTGGTATGCCAATCCTATAATTCCAATAGCTTTTTACCGTCGCAGTGAAGAATCCATATCTCAAGTTGGGACAAATAAAGTGATTACATGGAAACCTGACTCTCGACAATTGGCTATACTTACAAATTCGGGAGTTATAATTCTTTATCACATCGAATTTTACTCTGAAGAAAGTGGCATTTTAACACAAATAGATCCACCAAGTTCAAGTTTGAGGAGAGACTCAGCAGAGCTTTTTATAAAGGAAAATGTTCCAAAGCTTAGCTTACGAGAGCAATGCAATGTCAAGCTGGATGCCCCAATCACAACAATATGCTGCGTTAGTCTTACGGAGTTGCTTCTTGCAACAGACCAGTGTGACCTGATACGTGTTCAATGGACAGATTTGAATGCGGATATTGTAGGCGAGAGTGGGGAAAGAGCACTAGCATTGCATTCATCTATTAACTTGCGAAATATTCCATTTTATGTAAATCGAAATTGTCATTTAAAATGTATCCCACCTATAGGAGATAGTTCATATGTATCAGCATTAGAATATTCTCCGTTTATTGGTGGTTGTGCGGCGATTTTCAGTGACCAACGCGCAGCATTTCTGGTAGCGATGCATTTACGTTTTGAACCTCAAAATATGCATGGTTTTTGGGTTCCAGATGTGGAAGACGCCACCGTTTGTTGTGTTAACCACAAGTTCAGACTTCTGGCTTATGGACGTAATAATTCCGATGTTGCAGTATATGCTATTGAAGACACTACCGGTGGATTGGAATTTTCACATAGATTATCTCTAAACTCGAGCGTAATTCCGGGATCATTGGGTCCTGTGTGCGAACTCAAATGGAGTCCCGATGGTTGTGTGCTTATTGTGACATGGGAGAAAGGAGGAATTTCATTATGGAGCACATTTGGAGCACTGCTTATGTCTTCTTTAAATTGGGATTTTGGTCTACATGTTGATTTGATGCATTATAATCCGTTGCAAGTAAAAAGGTTTGAATGGTCGACAGAAGGATATCACCTTTTCATGATTTGCAAGAAAAATACACAAGAATCACTTAATGTAAACTATATACCCGTTTGTGACGTTTTGCAGTTAAATTTTATTAAAAGCACCATGTCAATGAATCCTTGCATGGCATCACAATCGCATATTCTACTACAAGGTAAATTATTATCATCCATTATTTAAATAGTATTGATTACTTAAAATTTTTTAGGCGATGATACATTATATATTAATCAGGGCGATAGTCTCGAGAAAATCTATTTCGGTTCGAAATTTACTTTCCCTAATAACAGCACTGAACCAACACAAAAAGGTTTTAAGCATAATGAAAGTATGGAGGTCAAAAAGTCTGTAGATATCTCCAGCATTCTCTCAGAAAGTAAATTGTGGAACGTAATACAGCTTCCTCTAACTTATGCAGCTAGTAATTGGCCAATACGATATTCCGCAATTGACGCTGTAGGTACGCATTTAGCAGTGGCTGGTCGAACAGGACTAGCTCATTATTCCATGCTGACAAAAAAATGGAAACTCTTTGGTAATGAATCACAAGAAAAAGATTTCGTTGTATCAGGCGGCTTGCTTTGGTGGAAGGGTTTTATTGTAATGGGATGCTATTCCCTGTTGGATCGTACAGACGAAATACGATGCTACGCGGCAGAATGTAAATTGGATAATGAGTTTGGAAATAAGATCAAGGTTCGAGCGCCGGTTATTTCATTAAATATGTTTAGAGATCAGTTGATTGCACTGACTGCTGATGGCATAGTTAGCCTATTTGAGTTAAGAAAGAATGATGCTTATTCTATTAGTGTCTGTTGCGAATACGAAGTAGATGTAAAAAGCATTTGTATTCATCCAGCATGTATTGTGTCACTAACTGTTACAAACCTTCGTAATGATCTAACAATGAAATCGGCGTCTATTTCAAGTGATGTAGCCGAGACAATAATTGTTAACGTATGTGGGCGGATCCTGATGATTCAACGCGATTGTCGCAATAGTGTTATAAACTCGTTAATGGCTTCCTGTCTGGCTTCATGTGTGGAGTGTTTTTGGCTATCTAATGCATTAGAGAAGAGCCCAATGTGTGATTGCTTGTGGTTGTATTCTGGATCACATGGAATGCGAGTATGGCTGCCTATTTTACCTCCATTAAATGAGCAAATACACGAAGCACCGCACCGCATACACTCATTCATGTCAAAGCGGATCATGTTGTCGTTTCCTTTAAAATTGTATCCTTTGGTTATTCTTTTTGATAATGTAATTGTATTGGGTGTAGAAAACGAAACCACATTGTATACTAGTGAAGCAAGTTCACATTTCGCACTTCCTTTCTGTTTGTTGGAACGTAAATCTCAAGTCTATTTACATAAAATCCTCCGTCAGCTTATTAAAAGGAATCTCGGTTACAGTGCATGGGAGATTGCGAAATCTTGCAGGTCTCTGCCATATTTTCCACATTCTCTGGAATTGCTTCTTCATGAAGTGCTCGAGGAGGAAGCCTTGAGCAAAGATCCAATACCAGATGCTTTACTACCAAGCATTCTCGATTTCATTCGGGAATTCCCCGTTTACCTCCAAACAATTGTTCAATGTGCCCGTAAAACGGAAATCGCATTATGGCCATATTTGTTTTCAGTGGCAGGAAAGCCAAAAGACTTATTCCAGCAGTGTTTGCAATCTGAAGAGTTGGAAACAGCCGCTAGTTTTTTAATAATTCTTCAGAATTTGGAACCATCCATTATTAGCAAACAATATGCAACATTGCTGCTGGACATCGCACTCCAAAATCGTAAATGGGAGCTTGCAAAAGATTTAATCCGTTTTTTGAAAGCGATAGATCCCAATGAAATTGATTCGCCACGTTCTTCTATGGTTGTAAATATGAAGATAGCTCCACCTTCGCAGAGTCAATCTCAGGTTAATCAGAATGCCGAAGTTTTCAATTTGATTTTAGGACCTATTGCACGGGAGCGCAGTTTTTCAACAACTGTCACTTCCAACTTACCAAAAGAGAAAAAGGATAAACAAGGATCAACGCCAAATCCTCCAAACTTTAATACAACAGCTTCAACTGGAGCCGTTAATGAAACAACGACATCGTCTCTTCCAAATAATGGTGCGTCCTCGGTTGTACGACGTAAAATGGAGCGAAGTAATTCCACAAAGGATCGAAAAGAAATATTTTGCATTGAAGCCATTCTTCAAAATCATGCACGAAAATTATTACAAAAACACAAACTCATTGAATTAGGCTATATGAGTGCGTTCCTGGATTTTCATTTGGTATCGTGGCTATCGCAAGAAGTGGACCGTTCGGCTAGGCTTGATGACTATGTGGATGCACTTAATTGTTTGCATGAAGAGTTGAAACTACGTGCAGCTATTTTGCATCCAACATCGGAAGAATCTGAATTGCCATTCGCAACCGATTATACGCAATTGAAAAAGCAATTCACAGTCGATAATCCACAGTTGTTTCGGTTGCATCCCTCCAGCCATACTTCTGAGTCGGGCTATTTCAGCTTAGCTCTGATGGACACACCAACAAGTGTGAATAATGGAAACGGGTTGCAAAACAATATTACCGCTATAAAGGAACATGAAGAACTAAGATATCCGATTCCACAGTTAGCCGACTACCTAAAATCGCGTTCAAATTCGCAGGCATCGTTCGATAATTCTCGGTACCGCCCATCCTTTGCTTTACATGATGACTTGCCAAATGTGTACTCGTTAAATTTTGAAAATTCTTCGACAAGCGATACCAGCTTCAAAATACTGTCAGAAAAATTGAGTATTAAAATACGCTATTTGCTGCAACTCTTTATTGAGGCGAACTGTACCGATTATGCATTAGTCTTGTCAATTTTGCTGCAAGACGCAGCTTCCATTGGTCGAATTATCAACGTCATGATTCGTTCAGAATCACTTACAACTTGTCAGCGAATAGGTGCTGCTCTTAAACGTTTAACACATTGGTCGTTTGATCGAGAATGTGTCTACCGTCCGTTTATGATTTCTCTCCAACCGCATATTTATCATCTCGATCAGTACATAAGCTCTACAACCAGCAAATTGTCCATGCATCACCGCGATGAAGATGGAGATACGTCATTAGGTATCCTTCCCGAAAAAAAGGTGGATAGTTCAAATAATATTGCGCAAAGCATTCATATCACAAATGATAATCCGACCTGGGACTTAGAAAATATTGTTTCTGAGGATTCATGTAATCGACAGTCTAGCATTGGCTCATGCGGAAGTGCAAACATAAATAACAACAATCCGAAACGGTTGTTGAAAGATCACTCAAGTCGTAATGAAACATGTCAAGTCATGTAACTCAAATTGCTTTTCCGAAGGTTGTAAATTATGTATATGTGTTTCGTACAATATTTACTGAAACTACTTTTTTTGGGAGTATAAAACATCTTACAGTTTCCTAAGTAAAAACTATCAGCTGATTTCCAAAAAATGCTGACAGCTGAGATGACCTGTTTTTTGGCATTTGCTCTTGTCTTTTACAATTTCTTTCATTTCTATTATAATTTCTTCAATTTCTATTACAATAGTTGCGTTCCAGATGCTTCACGATATTCACGATTTGCAGGAACAGCTGTTTTCTCCATTAATAAACCTTATGGAAGGTGTTCACCTGGAACGGCTTCCTGTAAAAACCTGCAAATCGTGAAGCATCTGGAACGCAACTAATTTATTCAAAATACACTAAGGGCCGTTTGCACCATGTCTAGTTAATTCTAACTCCCAGTTAAACATCTTTATCGACGTTATCGACACCCATCATATAACATGTGATCGATAAAGCAGTTAACGTGCTTAACTGAAGGATGTACCTCCAGTTAGCGTTAACTAGACATGGTGCAAACGGCCCTAACGGCCGGTTACTCAATGTCTGGTTAACACTAATCTCCGGGTAAACATAGTTATCGACGTTACCGACTCCCTGTTATATGCATGGAGTCGAAGACGTCGATAACGATGTTTAACCGCAGATTAGTGTTAACCAGACATTGAGTAACCGGCCCTAACACATTGAACCAAAAACACCAATACGCTAACCAAAAATACACCTACAGCCTGCCAGGTAAAACGGTAAGAAGAGTTACTTTACATCATGCACGAAAGACACAAGATCACACCTTCCCGAAAGAAAGAAAAAAGTTATTTTCTAGCTGTTGAAGTCTCGACGCCATCTTTGTTGTAAGAAGTAAACAACGAAGAGAACAAAAAAAAACGCGTAATTGTTGAACACATGAATAATCATTTTTATTATGCAAATTCTTCTATAAATCATGTCGTTGTGTTAAATTATTCTTTACCTTATGTGTGCACACGTTGTCACAAGCGAAAATTAAGAAAATTGCAAACAACGAACAAATGTAAACAAACGGCTAATGGCAAAGTCGCCCAACTTTTTTCCTAAATGCGATTATAACGGCCTACTAAGAAGGAGGCGTGATCTTGTATTTTTGGTTCATGACTTTACATGAAACTTGTTATGAAACTGTACGGTGGTATAAACATGTTATGAAACTGTACGATGGTATAAAATATAGTCTTAAAAAGCAATAAATACACACATATATAAAAATTAGCATAATTCAATGATAAACAAGGTAGTAAAGAATAAATAATTTTTATTAAGATGTAAAAAAACGATTGTAAAATTTAATAAAATGAAGTAAAAACAATGTTCGACTATATATTGCACTATCGCATTTAACGGTTGTTGTTGTTGTTGTTGTTGTAGCGGCACTACTAATTCCCGCCTTTTTCGGGTCAACATTAATTGCGTTCCAGATGCTTCACGCCTTGCAGGTTTTTACAGGAAGCCGTTCCAGGTGACCACCTTCCATAAGGTTTATTAATGGGGAAAACAGCTGTTCCTGCAAATCCTGTAAAACCTGCAAATCGTGAAGCATCTGGAACGCAACTATTCAATCATATTCGTCAAGCTCAACTAACGTCAGGCCCAGGGAACGAGCTGTTTCAGTGGGGTCGGACCGGAGGGAGAGGGGTGTTAGTTGAGTCGGATTGAGCTGGTATGTGAAGACGTAGTGGGTGTCGTGAGGGGATTCTCCACATGCCGGACACTCATTTGGGATATTGGGGTCGAGTCTGGACAGGTAGCTGTTGAAGCGGCTACAGTATCCAGACCGTAATTGAGCCAGGGTAACTCGGGTCTCTCTTGGCAATTGAAGCTCCGTCTCTTCTACAGGTGGTGATTGGGCTCCAATTACGGCATTCATAGGTCGAGAGTCAAGGTAGGTGGTGACTGACTCTCTATGGATGTCGTTAATGGCTCGTCTGTATGTTGTTGTTGTAGCGGCTACAACAACCCCGCCCAGATAGGCTAATATCTCAGTCGTTGTCGTCAAGTTCAACTAACGGAAGCCCAAGAAGCATGCAGCCCCTATGGGGTCGGTCCATAGGGACGACGCCGCTAGGGTTGTCGGGTTTTCCGGGCATGCGAAGAGATGTTTCGAGTCGTGAGGGGTCTCTCCGCATGCCGGGCATTCGTTCGGCACATCCGCATTTAACCTACTCAGGTAGGAATTTAGCCTGCTGCAGTAGCCAGAGCGAAGTTGGGCTATTGTTGTCCTGGTCTCCCGAGGCAGATGGAGCTCCGTCGCGTTAATGTCCGGTGTTTGTGTGCCTAGAACGGCATTCACAGGTCTTGAGTCTACATAACTCGAGACTGCGTCCCTGTGAATGCCGTTCAGGGCCTGTCTGTGAGCTGACGGGTCCAGAGGTTGCTTAATGAACTGGACTTCGTCCGTCAGTTCATATAGATGCCTCCTGACATGCCTCGGCGAGGGCTCCTCTGCAAGCAGCTGTCTATTTGGGTGGCCACATCTGTGGCTCCCAGCAAGAAACTGCTTGCAGAGCATCGTGTTGTGCTCCCTAATTGGGAGCATTTTCGCCTCGTCGTGGAGGTGGTGTTCTGGTGACATCAGGAGGCATCCGGTCGCTGTCCTAAGTACTGTGTTTTGTACCGACTGTAGCTTCGTCCACCGGGTCCTACTAGTCCCCGGCGACCACACTGGTGCTGCGTAGTTTAAAACCGGCCGGCCTATTGCCTTGTATGTTGCCAGCAACGTTTCTTTGTCTATGCCCCAAGTACTGCCGGCTAGCGACTTGAGGACCTTGTTGCGGCTCTGTACTTTATTGACAATAGCGGTTGCGTGCGCAGAGAAGGAGAGCAGGCTGTCGAATGTTACTCCGAGTATTTTAGGATTATTCACCGTCGGAATTGGTGTGTCATCGATGTGAATTCCTAGCGGTAGCCTGACCTCCTTCGTCCAGGTTGCGAACAGGGTCGCAGAGGATTTCGTAGGGGAGAGGGCTAGACACTTTGCAGTGAAGAAGCGAGAAAGTTCAGAGAGATATCCGTTTACTTTCGAACACAGGTTATCAATTCCATTCCCAGTCGCCATGATCTAGCAATCGTCGGCGTAAGAGACAATCGAGACTCCCTCTGGTGGTTGAGGGAGCTTTGAAATGTAAAAGTTAAACAGTAGTGGGGAAAGGACACCACCCTGTGGAACCCCCTGTTTTATTTTCGTAAGTTTGCTTGATTTGTCTCCAAACATTACCGAAGAGTGTCGACCACTTAGATAATTTGCCGACCACCGTTTGAGCCTCTGTGGGAGAGAGGAAGCCTCTATATCTTCTAGTAGCGTGGAATGGCTGACAGTGTTAAAAGCCTTTGACAGGTCCAACGCTACTAGAATCGTTCTCTCACAGGGACGTTTACGGTTAAGGCCACGAGTTATCTGAGTGTTTATGGCGTTAAGTGCTGTTGTTGTACTGTGCACTTTACGGAAACCATGCTGATGCTTGGCTGGGGTCAGGTGGTTTGTGAAATACGGGAGTAGCAAGGCCTCTAGTGTCTTCGCTACCGGGGAAAGGAGGGTTATCGGACGATAGGAGTGTCCTATGTTGGCGGGTTTCCCCGGTTTCAGCAGTGGGACCACTCTCCCCACCTTCCAGATGTCTGGGATGATGAGAGTGGCCATGGACAAATTGAGGACCTCCGTTAGGTACGCTATCCCCGCAGGACCCGCAGGGGAGGTCAGCGAAGGTGTTTTCAGTAAATTCCGCGAAGCCTTTCCAATCAGCTTTTGAAAAGTTGATATATGTTCGGTGCTCCGCGGAAGCAAAGTCGGTTGGTTTATCGATCGAGATGACTATGGGCAGGTAGTCTGATGCCAGAGTCAGCATAGGTCGCCATGATATGCTGTTTATCAGACCAGGGCTGACTATTGTTATGTCTGGCGAGCTGCAGCAGCTGCCCATAATCCTGGTGGGTGCGTTGTCGTTCATTGTGCAGAATGTCGAATCGTCTATCTGCTCAGCCAAGTCAGTTCACCTACGATCGTTTGACAGGCTTGAGTGCCAAAGGTCGTGGTGCGTATTAAAGTCGCCTACTACCATACGGTTTTCACCTCTGAGGAGCGCACCTATGTCAGGGTGATATCCTACCGGGCGGCAGGTGACAGGGGGTATATAAGGTGACTCCACCCCTCGCGAGCATTGCTCTTGACAGAGGTGGAGTTGTGGTGTAGTCGTCTCTGGCATACACAGCAGGTGTAGGTTTCTGGCCCTGGGTTTGACTCGATGCCAGCCCTGAGTAGGAGAAAACGTAGCGAATGTAGCCCTATGGACGAACAACTTCTGAGATACTTCGCTGACCTAAACGGGGTTAGATCGCAGAAACAACAGCCCTTGGTCGGGTAAAACCCGAGTCATTCCGGTACGTAGAACGGGCTTTCGTGGGAATGTTCTGTCTGTATGTCGTCGGGTCCAGTGGTTGGTATACCTATTGCTGGACTGCGTCCTTGTATACGAATAGGTGCCCCCTGACGTGCTTGGGCGGAGGCTCCTCCTGAAGCAGAGGTCTGTTTGGGTCTTCGCTTCTGTGACACCCCACCAGAAATTGCTTACAAAGCATTTTGTTGTGTTCCCTTACGGGGAGCACTTGGGCCTCGCTGTTTAGGTGATGCTCAGGCGTCATCCGAAGGCACCTAGTCGCTGTCCGGAGTGCGGCGTTTTGACAAGTCTGTAGCTTCGTCCACTGCGTTCAACTAGTCCCCGGCGTCGAAACTGGCGCAGCAAAGTTTAGAACCGGCCGGCCAATTGCCTTGTATGTTGCCAGCAACGTTTCTTTGTCTTTGCCCCAAGTGCTGCCGGCGAGCGACTTGAGGGCCTTGTTGCGGCTCTGTAATTTATTGACAACTGCGGTTGTGTGCGTGGAGTAGGAGAGCGGGCTATCGAAGGTGACCCCTAACATTTTCGGGTTGTTTACAGTCGGTATTGGTGTGCCATCGACGTGTATACCTAATTCTAGCCTGACCTCCTTCGTCCTGGTGGTGAAGAGGGTCGCCCTTGATTTCCTTGAGGAGAGTGTTAGGCCCCTATTGCGAGTGTCGACTGGCAGTAGAATAGAAATTTGTCGATCGAGTCGATCATCTTTTATTTTGCTATTGTGTAACTTGATCGATAAAAATTTGTACTATTGTGAATGGTGACGGAATTGTAAACAGCTGT